TTGGGGAGTGTTGTATGTGCAGCTATGGCGGTGTGTTCACTCACACCATGAGTGACGCTGCCCAGTACTGTCACTATGGCGGTGTGTTCACTCACACCATGAGTGGCGCTGCCCAGTACTGTCACTATGGCGGTGTGTTCACTCTCACCATGAGTGACGCTGCCCAGTACTGTCACTATGGCGGTGTGTTCACTCACACCATGAGTGGCGCTGCCCAGTACTGTCACTATGGCGGTGTGTTCACTCACACCATGAGTGGCGCTGCCCAGTACTGTCACTATGGCGGTGTGTTCACTCACACCATGAGTGACGCTGCCCAGTACTGTCACTATGGCGGTGTGTTCACTCACACCATGAGTGGCGCTGCCCAGTACTGTCACTATGGCGGTGTGTTCACTCACACCATGAGTGACGCTGCCCAGTACTGTCACTATGGCGGTGTGTTCATTCTCACCATGAGTGACGCTGCCCAGTACTGTCACTGGCGGTGTGTTCACTCACACCATGAGTGGCGCTGCCCAGTACTGTCACTATGGCGGTGTGTTCACTCACACCATGAGTGACGCTGCCCAGTACTGTCACTATGGCGGTGTGTTCATTCTCACCATGAGTGACGCTGCCCAGTACTGTCACTGGCGGTGTGTTCACTCACACCATGAGTGACGCTGCCCAATAAACTCGCCTCTCGGGGCAAATTTTAAATTTAAAAAATAGGGCAATGGTCAAATAAATCTCACACAAGACGGTTCGAAAAAGCCAATTTTCTGATTGTCAAACCGGTATGTGTGGGTTAGGTTTGATTGTATTAGCTTAGGCACGACTAGTTAGGCTGGGTTGGGTTGGGTGGGTGTGGGTTAGGCTAGGTTGGGTTGGGTGGGTGTGGGTTAGGCTAGGTTGGGTTGGGTGGGTGTGGGTTAGGCTAGGTTGGGTTGGGTGGGTGTGGGTTAGGCTAGGTTGGGTTGGGTGGGTGTGGGTTAGGCTAGGTACATTATCACATCCGTTGGCAGCCGCGTTGTGCACATTGTTCTTGTTGTTATAGGTTCAGCTACTGGGAACAAAAAGTTCCAAGTAGCACCGGCTATGGTGAGCCCGTAGTGGACTTAAGCTGGCATAGGAGAGGCGGGGGGGAGGGATGGAGTTTCATGTCTAAATAATATTTATTGTAGCGTGGATTGTTTCTTTTACCTTGTGAAAAGAGAAAGTTTTTTTTCTCTAATATTATTACTGTTTTTTTGTTTACTAACGTTAAGGTCTTAAGTTATATATTCTCTATTTGTAATTAGTATTTGAGCCTGTAGGACCGAGGTGTTAGCTCTTGGACCCGCCTTTCGGCCTAGATATGTATTTTCACACAGACACATCGCCAGGATGCAGCCCCCGACAGTTGACTCACTCCCGGGTATCAGTTTATTGCTAGGTGAATAGAAGCATCAGCTGAAAGAATCACTGCTCATTTTGACTGCCTCGGTCGGGAACCGAACTCATGTCTGTGGACTGCGACTCTCAGACGCTGTCCACCCGGCCGCGAGGACACTGTGTAATTGAAATTGAAATTGAAACACTGTGTGTGTTTGTGTTTTTGCGTGTGTGTGTGTGTGGTGTGCTTGCGCGTGCATGACAGAGTGCGCGTGTGTGTTGTGTGTACGCGCATTTGCGTGTGTGTTGTGTGTGCGCGCATGTGCGTGTGTGTTGTGTGTGCGCGCATGTGCGTGTGTGTTGTGTGTGCGCGCATGTGCGTGTGTGTTGTGTGTGCGCGCATGTGCGTGTGTGTTGTGTGTGCGCGCATGTGCGTGTGTGTTGTGTGTGTGCGTGTGTGTGCGAGTGGTATGCTTGCGCGTGCATGGCAGAGTGCGCGCACGCTGGCGGGTGTGTGGGTTGGGCGTGTGCGCGTGTAATGTCTCGCAGTCTGGTTGTCGGCGGCGCGGGAGACGGTCGCATCCACACTGGTGTGTGTGTGTGTGTGTGTGTGTGGAGGGGCTACACGCTGTACACACCCACACTCTCTACACCCTCCCTCACACACACTCCTACACCCACCTCTCTACGTCCTGGTGAGAACCTCCAGGCATCTACACCACCAGCTGTCAGGAGCAGTGAAGCTGTCAGCGAGCAGTGAAGCTGTCTTGCCTGGCTAGCCAGAGGCTGTTGAACTGCATGCTGTCTTCGCTGTGGGAGGTTGGTGCAGCACCAGCCGGCTCCACCACCTCCAAACTCACTCACTGGCGGCGTTTACACGCACGCGCGCACGCACACTCACACACACACTCACACTACACACACCACTCACACACACTCACACTACACACACTCACACTACACACACTCACATTACACACACGCGCGCGCGCACAAACATCATGCAACTGAAAATTCAAATTTAAGTGCCAGTAAAGTTATCTTGAAATATACACTCAGACCACAACAGTCGAAACTTATATATTATACGAACGGAAATATAACGGTGAAAACGGAAATACAACGGTGAAAACGGAAATACAACGGTGAAAACGGAAATACAACGGTGAAAACAGAAATACAACGGTGAAAACGGAAATACAACGGTGAAAACGGAAATACAACGGTGAAAACGGAAATACAACGGTGAAAACGGAAATATAATGGCGGAAAAAGTGTGTAACGAGAATTGTAACAGTGGAGGAGAAATACACCAGAGGGATAAGAGCGGTTACAGCAGCACATGAGAGGGGTGAGAGCGGGTACAGCAACACATGAGAGGGTGAGAGTGGGTACAGCGACACATGAGAGGGTGAGAGCGGGTACAGCAACACATGAGAGGGGTGAGAGCGGTTACAGCAGCACATGAGAGGGATAAGAGCGGTTACAGCAGCACATGAGAGGGGTGAGAGCAGTTACAGCAGCACATGAGAGGGATAAGAGCGGTTACAGCAGCACATGAGAGGGATAGGAGCGGTTACAGCAGTACATGAGAGGGGTGAGAGCAGTTACAGCAGCACATGAGAGGGATAAGAGCGGTTACAGCAGCACATGAGAGGGATAAGAGCGGTTACAACAGCACATGAGAGGGATAAGAGCGGTTACAGCAGCACATGAGAGGGATAAGAGCGGTTACAGCAGCACATGAGAGGGGTGAGAGTGGGAACAGCAGCACATGAGGGATAAGAGTGGGTACAGCAGCACATGAGAGGGATAAGAGCGGTTACAGCAGCACATGAGAGGGATAAGAGCGGTTACAGCAGCACATGAGAGGGATAAGAGCGGTTACAGCAGCACATGAGAGGGATAAGAGTGGGTACAGCAGCACATGAGAGGTATAAGAGCGGTTACAGCAGCACATGAGAGGGATAAGGGCGGTTACAGCAGCACATGAGAGGGGTGAGAGTGGGTACAGCAGCACATGAGAGGGGTGAGAGCAGTTACAGCAGCACATGAGAGGGATAAGAGCGGTTACAGCAGCACATGAGAGGGATAAGAGCGGTTACAGCAGCACATGAGAGGGATAAGAGCGGTTACAGCAGCACATGAGAGGGGTGAGAGTGGGAACAGCAGCACATGAGGGATAAGAGTGGGTACAGCAGCACATGAGAGGGATAAGAGCGGTTACAGCAGCACATGAGAGGGATAAGAGCGGTTACAGCAGTACATGAGAGGGATAAGAGCGGTTACAGCAGCACATGAGAGATAAGAGTGGGTACAGCAGCACATGAGAGGGATAAGAGCGGTTACAGCAGCACATGAGAGGGATAAGAGCGGTTACAGCAGCACATGAGAGGGGTGAGAGGGTACAGCAGCACATGAGAGGGGTGAGAGTGGGTACAGCAGCACATGAGAGGGATAAGAGCGGTTACAGCAGCACATGAGAGGGATAAGAGCGGTTATAGCAGCACATGAGAGGGGTGAGAGCGGTTACAGCAGCACATGAGAGGGGTGAGAGCGGTTACAGCAACACATGAGTGGGTACAGCAACACATGAGAGGGTGAGAGTGGGTACAGCAACACATGAGAGGGTGAGAGTGGGTACAGCAGCACATGAGAGGGTGAGAGTGGGTACAGCAACACGTGAGAGTGGGTACAGCAGCACATGAGAGGGTGAGAGTGGGTACAGCAGCACATGAGAGGGTGAGAGTGGGTACAGTAGCACATGAGAGGGTGAGAGTGGTTACAGCAACACGTGAGAGTGGGTACAGCAACACATGAGAGGGTGAGAGTGGGTACAGCAGCACATGAGAGGGTGAGAGTGGGTACAGCAACACGTGAGAGGGTGAGAGTGGGTACAGCAACACATGAGTGGGTACAGCAACACTTGAGAGGGTGAGAGTGGGTACAGCAGCACATGAGAGGGTGAGAGTGGGTACAGCAACACGTGAGAGTGGGTACAGCAGCACATGAGAGGGTGAGAGTGGGTATAGCAACACATGAGAGTGGGTACAGCAACACGTGAGAGTGGGTACAGCAACACGTGAGAGTGGGTACAGCCGCACATGAGAGGGTGACAGTGGTTACAGCAGCACATGAGAGGGTGACAGTGGTTACAGCAGCACATGAGAGGGTGACAGTGGTTACAGCAGCACATGAGAGGGTGACAGTGGTTACAGCAGCACATGAGAGGGTGACAGTGGTTACAGCAGCACATGAGAGGGTGAGAGGGGTTACAGCAACACATGAGAGGGGTTGCAGCAACACATGAGAGGGTGAGAGGGGTTGCAGCAACACATGAGAGGGTGAGAGGGGTTGCAGCAACACATGAGAGGGGTGAGAGTAACTACAAAGCCCGCAGGTGTCACAAGTGAAAACAAGCGTGCGGGAAGTTCTCTAGTTGGTCAGGGTGGAGGTCTGCCTCGGCTGGCCTGCCTCCTCGTTTTCCTATGTTTTACCTGTATATTGTATGGCTGTTGGGGTCATTCTTGTTGGTTACGGGTCCAGTGTGTTGTGTTGTGTTGTGGTGGTTGTGTTGACGTGAGTGGTTGTGGCACCGGTTGTTAGTGTGGTGCAGTTACTGGTGGAGGGAATGATGTGTGTAGGTCGTGAGTTGCTGGCCCCCAGCCCTTCCCGGCGGCCACTCCTGGCCCCCAGCCCTCTCCAGCAGCCACTCCTGGGCCCCAGCCCTCTCCAGCAGCCACTCCTGGGCCCCCAGCCCTTCCCGGCAGCCACTCCTGGGCCCCAGCCCTCTCCAGCAGCCACTCCTGGGCCCCCAGCCCTCTCCAGCAGCCACTCCTGGGCCCCCAGCCCTTCCCGGCGGCCACTCCTGGGCCCCCAGCCCTCTCCAGCAGCCACTCCTGTGCCCCAGCCCTCGCCAGCAGCCACTCCTGGGCCCCCAGCCCTCGCCAGCAGCCACTCCTGGGCCCCCAGCCCTCTCCAGCAGCCACTCCTGGCCCCCAGCCCTCTCCAGCAGCCACTCCTGGGCCCCCAGCCCTTCCCGGCGGCCACTCCTGGGCCCCCAGCCCTCGCCAGCAGCCACTCCTGGGCCCCCAGCCCTCGCCAGCAGCCACTCCTGGCCCCCAGCCCTCTCCAGCAGCCACTCCTGGGCCCCCAGCCCTCGCCAGCAGCCACTCCTGGGCCCCCAGCCCTCTCCAGCAGCCACTCCTGGGCCCCCAGCCCTCGCCAGCAGCCACTCCTGGGCCCCCAACCCTCTCCAGCAGCCACTCCTGGGCCCCCAGCCCTCGCCAGCAGCCACTCCTGGGCCCCCAGCCCTCTCCAGCAGCCACTCCTGGGCCCCCAACCCTCTCCAGCAGCCACTCCTGGGCCCCCAGCCCTCGCCAGCAGCCACTCCTGGCCCCCAGCCCTCGCCAGCAGCCACTCCTGGGCCCCCAGCCCTCGCCAGCAGCCACTCCTGGGCCCCCAGCCCTTCCCGGCAGCCACTCCTGGCCCCCAGCCCTCGCCAGCAGCCACTCCTGGCCCCCAGCCCTCGCCAGCAGCCACTCCTGGGCCCCCAGCCCTCGCCAGCAGCCACTCCTTGGCCCCCAGCCCTCTCCAGCAGCCACTCCTGGGCCCCCAGCCCTCTCCAGCAGCCACTCCTGGGCCCCCAGCCCTCTCCAGCAGCCACTCCTGGGCCCCCAGCCCTCGCCAGCAGCCACTCCTGGGCCCCCAGCCCTTCCCGGCAGCCACTCCTGGCCCCCAGCCCTCGCCAGCAGCCACTCCTGGCCCCCAGCCCTCGCCAGCAGCCACTCCTGGGCCCCCAGCCCTCGCCAGCAGCCACTCCTGGGCCCCCAGCCCTTCCCGGCAGCCACTCCTGGCCCCCAGCCCTCGCCAGCAGCCACTCCTGGCCCCCAGCCCTCGCCTGCAGCCACTCCTGGGCCCCCAGCCCTCGCCAGCAGCCACTCCTGGGCCCCCAGCCCTTCCCGACAGCCACTCCTGGCCCCCAGCCCTCGCCAGCAGCCACTCCTGGCCCCCAGCCCTCGCCAGCAGCCACTCCTGGGCCCCCAGCCCTCGCCAGCAGCCACTCCTGGGCCCCCAGCCCTTCCCGGCAGCCACTCCTGGCCCCCAGCCCTCGCCAGCAGCCACTCCTGGCCCCCAGCCCTCGCCAGCAGCCACTCCTGGGCCCCCAGCCCTCGCCAGCAGCCACTCCTGGGCCCCCAGCCCTTCCCGTCAGCCACTCCTGGCCCCAGCCCTCGCCAGCAGCCACTCCTGGCCCCCAGCCCTCGCCAGCAGCCACTCCTGGGCCCCATTCCTCGCCAGCAGCCACTCCTTGTGCACTCATGTCTCATGACCCGACCTGTCCTCCTACAAATAACGTCACTTTTCGCTCGTATGTGCACTAAGGCTAAAAATTACCGTAATAGAAAATGGAAGCGGCGAGCGAAAGTGACGTAGTGTCCCGTTTTCTGTTTTGGGTCCTGTGGTAGGTTAGGAGAGACTGCTTTAAAATGACCGTTTTCTTGACGTTGTGAGACATAAGGAGGACGGACTGGGTTATTCGAGCGTTGTGGTGGCTGTCAAGTGTTGTGGTGGCTGTCAAGTGTTGTGGTGGTTGTCCCAGTGTGGTGGTGGCTGTCAAGTGTTGTGGTGGCTGTCAAGTGTTGTTGTGGTTGTCAAGTGTTGTGGTGTTTGTCAAGTGTTGTGGTGGTTGTCAAGTGTTGTGGTGGTTGTCAAGTGTTGTGGTGGTTGTCAAGTGTTGTGGTGGTTGTCAAGTTTAGTGGTGGTTGTCAAGTGTTGTGGTGGTTGTCAAGTGTTGTGGTGGTTGTCAAGTGTTGTGGTGGTTGTCAAGTGTTGTGGTGGTTGTCACGTGTTGTGGTGGTTGTCAAGTGTTGTGATGGTTGTCAAGTTTAGTGGTGGTTGTCAAGTGTTGTGGTGGTTGTCAAGTGTTGTGGTGGTTGTCAAGTGTTGTGGTGGTTGTCAAGTGTTGTGGTGGTTGTCAAGTGTGGTGGTGGTTGTCAAGTGTTGTGGTGGTTGACAAGTGTTGTGGTGGTTGTCAAGTGTTGTGGTGGTTGTCAAGTGTTGTGGTGGTTGTCAAGTGTTGTGGTGGTTGTCAAGTGTTGTGGTGGTTGTCAAGTGTTGTGGTGGTTGTCAAGTGTTGTGGTGGTTGTCAAGTGTTGTGGTGGTTGTCAAGTGTTGTGGTGGTTGTCAAGTGTTGTGGTGGTTGTCAAGTGTTGTGGTGGTTGTCAAGTGTTGTGGTGGTGGTGGTTGTCAAGTGTTGTGGTGGTTGTCAAGTGTTGTGGTGGTTGTCAAGTGTTGTGGTGGTTGTCAAGTGTTGTGGTGTTGTGGTGGTTGTCACGTGTTGTGGTGGTTGTCAAGTGTTGTGGTGGTTGTCAAGTGTTGTGGTGGTTGTCAAGTGTTGTGGTGGCTGTCAAGTGCTGTGGTGGCTGTCAAGTGCTGTGGTGGTTGTCAAGTGTCGTGGTGGTTGTCAAGTGTTGTGGTGGTTGTCACGTGTTGTGGTGGTTGTCAAGTGTTGTGGTGGTTGTCACGTGTTGTGGTGGTTGTCAAGTGTTGTGGTGGTTGTCAAGTGTTGTGGTGGTTGTCACGTGTTGTGGTGGTTGTCACGTGTTGTGGTGGTTGTCAAGTGTTGTGGTGGTTGTCAAGTGTTGTGGTGGTTGTGTGTGTGGTTGTCACGTGTTGTGGTGGTTGTCACGTGTTGTGGTGGTTGTCACGTGTTGTGGTGGTTGTCAAGTGTTGTGGTGGTTGTCAAGTGTTGTGGTGGTTGTCAAGTGTTGTGGTGGTTGTCACGTGTTGTGGTGGTTGTCAAGTGTTGTGGTGGTTGTCACGTGTTGTGGTGGTTGTCAAGTGTTGTGGTGGTTGTCAAGTGTTGTGGTGGTTGTCACGTGTTGTGGTGGTTGTCAAGTGTTGTGGTGGTTGTCACGTGTTGTGGTGGTTGGCAAGTTGTGGTGGTGGTTGTCAAGTGTTGTGGTGGTTGTCAAGTGTTGTGGTGGTTGTCACGTGTTGTGGTGGTTGTCAAGTGTTGTGGTGGTTGTCACGTGTTGTGGTGGTTGGAGCAATATTCAGGGTTCGCCAGATACTTACCCCAGCAACCATCGGCGCGGCTCGGTGTGTGTTGCTGCGTTGAAATTCCCTCCCCTCCCTCACTTCCTCTCCTCCCTACCCCTCCCTCACTCTCCCTCACTCTCTCCCCTCTCTCACTTCCTCTCCTCCCTCCCCTCCTCTGCCTTCCTTCTTCACAACATGAAACATTCGTTGCAGGAATTGTTAAATATCGTTCATACAGTTTCCTGTTTTTGTGTCATATCTGATGAGATACATATGATACGAGGGTGTCGTTGAGGGTGACCTTTGTGGTGTGGGAGTTGTGTTCTCACCACCCGGCCACACGTCTCACTCACTCCTCTCACCAGAGGATACAACATACACTAAGTCTAGAGAGATAAGTGTTTATCATCGAGAGATAAACCCCTTATTCTTACTGGGATACAGAACTCTGTTCCCATTTCCTATTATATTCTTCATGTTACGGCTGATAGTGTTATGTTGTCTGGTGCAGAGAGGAGTAAGTAGTAGTGATGGGGGCAATACTGTGGGTGTTGTAGGGAAGGTACAGTGTATGGCACCTGAAGAAGGATGTCCCAATACTCTCCTACCTTATGTGGCTACCTATACCGTTGATAGGTTAAGTAATAATTGTAAATAAGAAGCAATAAGAAGCATATCTTTACATACTAAGAAGGTTAGGTGAGGTCGGTGTTATTTTATGAAGCTTTTCAAGGTAAACTAAAATATTCACAATCAATTAGTATGTCACATATGCACTTATTAAATAAGCCAATATTGACTGCAAGCAAGTGCGAAAACGGGTTGGTGGGTTCCGTGAATCAACCTCCTGGTTGGTGGTCTGGACGACCAGGCTGTTGGGCTCCGCTTCTCTCGGTCTTATATGAATCACAGCTTGTTTTATCAGGTATCCTGCCGAGGTGTTTATCAAGTTCTCTATTGACCACGGTGAGAGATCGGCCAGTTATACCCTGTATGATTAGAGGGTGTTGAAAGGTCTTGGTCCCGTGATGCATCTGTTGCACCTCTCCTGTTGAAAGGCGCTGTTTTGCACATCCTGCCATGCCACATGGTTTCTGATCTTTGGTAAGATCTGAATCCGAATTAAGGAGTTGTTACGATTTGTTGGAAGGTGTAGCGTATTTATCTTTGTTGGTTTGGATATGAGTGTGAGCAGTCTCCAAACTTGGTGTATATATAGATGGTAGTGAAGCCTTTGTGTGCCCTCTTCCCTCTAGTTCACCCTTCAGTGTTGTGTAATGTGATCTTTGTCACTCCTTCCTGACCCTCTCTCACTCCACCACCTTCCCTCCCCTCTACCACTACTCCTTCCCGACCCTCTGCCATCACCACCCCCTCCCACACCTTCCCTCACCCTCCCCTCTCAACAACCCCACAACCCCTGCATCGTTTTGTAACGGTGGGCAGTCAACCCCGTGGGGGGGGGGGTATATGAAGGGGGTGGGGTATATAAATGGGGGGGATGCAGGTTGTCTGTGTCTATGTGGAGTTTGGCGATGGCCTGGTGGAGTGTGGTGGCGGTGATGGGGTGTCGTGGTCAAGCAGCTCCATGTTATCCTCGCCCCGCTGGTCTTCCCTGGAACACCTTCCTCTAATGTGTTAACAGGGCTCCTAGTTACTGTTGGCGGAACACTTAATGATTGGTGCCCAGTCAATCCTTCCTGTCGCTGCTTATAGTCTAGGGGCAGCTGTATGAATGCTGACGGACCCAAGTCCAATACAAAGATAAAAGAGTGTTGTGGTGGGAGGTAAGGAGCTGGGTAGTGTGGACGGAGTGAAGGTGCTCACTAGCACCATCGGGGATTGAACTCGGAGCATCCAGACTATTTTGTCTAGGACGGGGCCGGCAATGGTGTCATATGGAGGATATTGGAAAGTCATGTCCGAAATGTAATATATCGAGGTCGATGCCTACAGAACGTCAACATTACAGTGGTTTAATGTTTTGTATAACGTCACATTTTTAACGCATTGGTCGAGTTCTTAAAAACGTGCGGTGTTAGGGGGAGAGGACGGGTTGACGGGGCAGCCATTGACGGCGGTCACCATCACGCCCCGTCAACCACCAGGAACCTTTACTACTGTCTCCCCCTCCACACCTGTCTCCCCCACCACACCTGTCTCCCCCACCACACCTGTCTCCCCCCACCACACCTGTCTCCCCCACCACACCTGTCTCCCCCCACCACACCTGTCTCCCCCACCACACCTGTCTCCCCCACCACACCTGTCTCCCCACCACACCTGTCTCCTCCACCACACCTGTCCCCATCTTACACCTGTCTCCCCCACCACACCTGTCTCCCCCACCACACCTGTCTCCCCCACCACACCTGTCTCCCCACCACACCTGTCTCCTCCACCACACCTGTCTCAGCCACTACACCTGTCTCCCCCACCACACCTGTCTCCCCCACCACACCTGTCTCCTCCACCACACCTGTCTCCCCATCACACCTACCTCCGTCTCCCCCACCACATCTGTCTTTCCCACCACTAACCTGTCTCCCCCATCCACACCTGTCTCCGCCACCACACCTGTCTCCCACACCACACCTGTCACCTTACATCTGTCTCCGCCACCACACCTGTCCACTCACACCCGCCTCCACCATGCTCACCCAGTGTTGTGTTGAGAAGCACATGTGGGCGTGCGGGCCGCTCCCAGCAACAGCCTGGTGGACCAAGTTATCACAGTCTCACCCCTGACCGAGTCTGGCACGCAGAATTCTCGAAATTTACTACAGGTTGTTGTTGGCTCCGGGGATCAATGTCCTGGGGGCCCCGGTCTCTGACTAGTCCTACTGGTTGGTGGTCTGGTCAACCAAGCTATTGGATGCAGCTACTCGCAGCCTTACGCATGAATCACAGCCTGATTGATCAAGTTCCCTCTTGAACAACAGGTAAATCGTCTCCATCATGGTGTTGTGTGACTTGGCTCTTCCAACAACCCGGTTGGTGGCTGACCGGAGGCGCTGAAGAAGCTTCTGGTCAGAGGATATGAGACAGACTAAGAGTGTTCCATCTTAGAGTTTGGTGGTGGAGGAGCCTGGTGGTGGTGGAGGTGGTGGAGCCTGGTGGTGGTGGAGGAGCCTGGTGGTGGTGGAGGAGCCTGGTGGTGGTGGTGGTGGTGGAGCCTGGTGTTGGTGGTGGAGGAGCCTGGTGGTGGTGGTGGTGGAGGTGGTGAAGCCTGGTGGTGGTGGTGGTGGAGGAGCCTGTTGGTGGTGGTGGAGGAGCCTG